AGCGATATTATTTATTTTAGTTTGGTTTCTGTAATTTGTAATGTAAGTGTGGGTCATGAGTGTTATGGAATGGGTCATGAATGTTATATCTTAAAATCGCCTTATTTAATCAAATATGTTTTTATTGAATTCATTTGTCATTGTGTGTTTATCTATATTTATTGAATTGTGTTAATTTGGGCATAAATTAATTTAGCTAATAACTTTTTTATTTTTTGTATTAAAAGACAATAATTTCTTTAGATGTTTTTCGCTCAATTATTAAATATAAATACATAAGGAATTATTAGAGTGCATACGGTTTACGCATCTTCTTCGCCCCTTATTCCCTCAGTCCTTACCATCACTCTTCTTCACTCTTTCTTTGTAACAATCTTCCTCATTTTCCCTTCAACAACATCTTCCCTGTCTGCTGCCACCAATCCTTTGTATTCTATTTTCAAATCTCCTATTCCTTCCTGTTCTCTATCACTCTCCTCCTAGTATATCCTTAAAAACTAAGTTTTTAAAATGTCTTTTGGAAAAAGAAAAGTTTAAAGTGGTAGCTCATGTAACATACCACACGTAGATTATATTGCAGTGATATATGTAATATATCTTTAATTGTACTGTTATTACAAATCTTTCGCGGGCTGTATGTGTATGTCTGTATGTATGGCTGCACTTTTTATACTATGTACTTTGTATACTGTATCATTATTACGTTTGTCGAATAAATTATCTTGTAACACATATACACGTTGTATTTCTTTTACCTTCTGCGAATATCCCAGAGTAAGAATGAGTTCTGTCTCTCTCTTACTCTCCTCCGTCGTAACTGCATCCTTCACCTACTCCTAATATAGTTTGAAATTCAATTCTCGAAATTGCACCTCTGGGAGGCTGTATCTCGAAAACGGCTGGGTTTAGGGCTTTTTCCTTGAAATGTTGAAAGATCTCTTAATGCAGAAAGATTAGAATGATCCATAGAAGAGGCTGGTACAGGTTAGATTGCGATAGGGCCACTTTCAAAAAATTCCTTTACTTTTCGGAACTTATTATTAAAAAATTTTCGTTAGTTCGAACTTTTGTCGATAAGAGGGCAGCACCTCCTGGGCATGATATGTGGCGCCATCTCTGAGAGAAACAGTGAACTACCTCCGATAAAATAATTCCGAATTCAATTTAAAAATCCCATCGTCGAAATTTCAATGAGTAAATCTTATTAAAGAATTCGCATTAGTTCGAATTTTCGCCGATAAGAGGGCAGCACCTCCCGGGCATGATATGTGGCG